TTGCCTTCACCAAAGCAACTTGACAAGGTAATTTGAGGAGAGAGAGAGAGAGAGAGGGGATATTATGGTTTATTAATATTTTATAAGAATAATATATTAAAGTAGAAATCATATTTATTTAATTAGTATTGGTCATAAATTCATTAGGAATTAATTTGGTGACTAAAAGAGATTAATTAAATAAAGGGGCATAAATTAAAAGAGATTAATTAAATTGTCCAACGGCCTTATTCCAGAAGGTTCCTTGGGCTGCTTGGTGGCTAAGTTATCCATTAGGGTTTAGACTAAAACCCTAGCATCTTGCACTATAAAAAAGACCCCAAGGCTCTAATTTTCAACTACTTGCTTCTAAGAGAAACCCTAGGGCCGAAAATTAGCATCCTCCCTCCTCTCTCAAAGTTGCCTTCTTACTTGTGGTGTTTGTGATCCACTATAGGAGTTATAATTGTGACTCTAAGCTCAAGAGAAGAAGATTCAAGCCACTATTTGAAGAGGTAAACATGTAGATCTGATGTAATTAGCTAATTTCGAAATTATGTATGCCCCCTAGGGTTTGCAAGTCTTGGATTCATTGCATGTACAATAGAGAAACCTAGATCCAAGCATTAGGGTTTGTATGAGCACATACTTATTAGATTGCCTAAATCTATAGAATATTTTTAAAGTAAAACAAAGCTCAAACACTATTCGCCCAAAGGAATTATTACTCGCCCAAAGAAAATATTTAATTCATTTAAAAAAAGAGATTAACGGTTGAAATGAAAATATTTGCCAAAAACTGTTCATCAAGACTGTTTACTCTAAATCGAAATCCGGAAGCGATTAATCATAAACTATAAACCAAAACCTCAAAAGTAACAATTCATTGAAATCAAATTGTTTAATAATGGATTGTGTGTAATTTGTAATATCACGAGATTCTTAAAGAAATTATTCGCAAAGTAGAAACAAACAGTGCAAACAAAAGTTTTCACACTTATCAAAAGGAAACTAATTGCCACAAGGTAACTATCAACCGGAAATGAAACTAATTTCAAATGTAGGTATTTATCTTCCATGATTGCTTTTCTCGAATGATCAACTTCATGTGGCGTTATTTAAAGAGACATCATGTACCAATAAAAAGTATTAGTGAAACATGACCAACAAATCAAAAGCAATGAAGCCTATACATCAGATATGTCATATAAAGTGGTGTTTCACGATTAGCATCGCATGTCATGCTTTTTTGAATATAACATGTTTCTGAATGGAAACTAATCGCCGCTGCCAACATACTTTTATTGTTAACCCAAAAAAAAACAATGTACTTATAACCCAACAAGTTAATAACTTACCAGCCCAATCCTTTTTGTGTGAAGCCCGTTCCCTCTAATCTAATAAGGCAATAAGTAGCAATCCTAATCACCATAAATACTTAAATCATAAATCACATCTCAAAGTTAATTGTTAATGCAGTGGGCATGAAAGCACCGAAGCTACAAAGCAAGATTACATTATATTCCATTTTCATCTAGTTGCATCTCTACTTGTTTATTTCTTTAATAGTCGTAGTCGCATCTCTACTTGTTTATTTCTTTAAGAGTCGAAATCGATAAGGAAGAATGATTGTTTTGATTTTTTTTTTGTTTATGCAGTAGGTACGGCCGTAGGGAAGCAGCAAAGCTATGAAACAGGATTAAGCTCCATTCCATTCTCATCTAGTCATCTTTACGTGTTTCTTTCTTTAAAACTTAAAATCGATCATGAAGAATGAAAGTTTCGATTTTTTTTGTTTATGCAGTAAGCAGGGCCGCAAGGAAGCACCGAAGCTGTGAATAATGATTAAGATCCATTCAATTCTCATCGAGTCATATCTACGTGTTTCTTTCTTTAAAAGTTGAAATTGATCAGGAAGAATGAAAGTTATGATTTTTTATTTATGCATGTCCTGAGATGGACTCAAAAGCTTAAGTAATGTTTGTTTGAACAATATTTGATGTCGTTTTGCTAATTTTTATGATTTATTATTTTTAATCTTATATGTATTGTTGAGTTTAGTTGTTATCTTTTCCAAATGGTACTAAAAAATTTGAGACACTATTGTTTTAACTTCGAAATTTGAAATGCTATTCTCATTAGAATGCTACAAGGTCCATTGGACAAAGACATACTAAGGTCTTCATATTTTCTTACATCAATATTTCTATTGAATCACATACATGAATTTTATACAGATGGAACCTTGTTAGCCAATGATTTAAATGTTGTTGAAGTTGTAACTTTTGAACACCCATGTGAGTTTTTTAGTAGCTTAATCCATTTACAGCTCTCTCTAGTTCTAATACCCTTTTTAGTGTGAAATTACGTATTTAAGCTTTTCATATAGCTTAATATGAAATTCATAACTCATGCATAATATTATGATATGATAACTGATTGTGAATTCTAGCAGACATTCCTAGTAGAAGAAAGGCTACACCAGATGCAAAAAAACTTGTTGGGTTTCAATTAATTTCATAATTCATTCGTAATGTTATGAAAATATTTCAGATGTTTGTAATAGAACGATATTTAAGGTTTTTATTTATTATTTTGGACAACTTATTAGGCGGCATGTAGTGGACAATATTTGACATATTTAAGATTTTTTGGCAGATTTTACGATTGTTTTGACATTTTTTATTTCAATTTTTTTTTAGATAAAACTAGTCTACTAGGCTCGATTGAAATGGGCCTAGAAAACCCAAACCATGAAACCAAACCGAAGTCAAACCGTTATTAACGGTTCGGTTTGGTTCGGTTTTAATTTTTACCGGTTCAGCTTCGGTTTTCAATAAACAAAAACCGTTATTAACGGTTTGGTTTCGGTTTGACCTAAAAACCGAAAAAACCGAACCGTGAACACCCCTACTATAAGAATTGCAGCAGTGCAACATATGTGACAAAAGTTGCAATTCTATTACTATGTATAAGTGCTTTAGATGATTCAGTCTGTACATGGGAGGTAATCCCATGGGATGAGTGCGAGTATGCTCTACTGTACTCCCTCATTTCATCCTCTTTGGTCTCATCTGATCTCATCATCATCTTTAATTTATGTTTATTAGAGCAAATAAAAACATTGTGTTGGCTGTAACACGTCATGGAGGACATCTTGCTTTCTTTGAGGGTCTTACTGCATCTACTTTATGGTATGCTCTTAATTTTTATTTCAAGTTTCATTCTCAAAATTTGATCTTATTTAATGTACAACATTAATTTATTTTGCTTGTTGCTTTGATTTCCATAAGGTGGGTGAGAGTTGCTAATGAATTCCATGGTGTTCTTCACTGTAGCCCCTTCATGCATACACAAAAGAAGGTAAAAAAAATTAAATTCATTATTCCTCTATGGTAATTATTTTATATTATCATTATTTATTTAAGTGTAAAAATGTGTAATATATTATATATTCTATGACAGAATCCTCTACATATTGGACCATAATCTTCTGTGCATCAAGGCCCATATGTGAATGTTTCAAATGGAATGGTTGCTGCTATCACCAATGATCCATCATCACCCACCGATAATGTAAAACTAAATGAAGATCCATTTGAGAGATAGAAAGCCAATGATCAAAGTGTTGTTGTTGATGTACTTGTTGTACCAGATGCAACAAAATGTAGTATCTTCTTCGAGTGGTCAAACATGGGTCAAAGCAGTTGACTTGAATAGCATCAAAAAGTGCTTATTCTAATGCTTTCAGATGAAATTGAAAAACTTTTGCCATCCCTGTTTGGGCAACCATCAACAATATTGGTGCCAGGTGAATATAATGAATCAAGATCTACCTTGAAGATAAGATTTGTGTTGTCAGGAGGACAAGCACCAGAAGGGCATAATGTTATATCTAGGATTTTTGGTTAGGATTTTGAACTTCCATTTCTTATTGTTCATATTGTTCATACTTCATATGATAGATTGAAAGTTGTATACAATTCAAAATAACTGTGTATCCAATTCAAACCTTTTCTCCCACTACTTGGTGCAGATTACTTATAGGAATGTTGCAAAGGTTCCAGACATTCTCATTGTCCCTTCAAACCCCACACACTTTGTGAAGGTATCTAATGGATTAGATCTTTTAAATGGTTGTGTGAAGATTTTATTGATATATTATTGAGATATTTGTAAGTTTTGGGCTTAGAGGGGACAAGTGAAGGAGGTGAAGAAGTGAAATGCATGTGTGTGAATCTGGGAAGACTGGCGAGAGGCAAAGGAGGTGGTCACTTTGTAGGACCTAACTTCCTTGGTACCCCTGAGTCATCTTCTACTTCAGTTATTCGTATATAGAAGCAACATTCAGACATGTGAACCCTATTCTTCTTTAACATCATTCCGACATGTGAACCTTAATCTTCTATTATGCGAGTTTTTTTAACTTTTATACATTATTTAATTTAATTGTGATTCCCAAACCTAATGAGCCATTTGTTTCAGAACTTCTTACAACTCTTCGAACAACCATTTATGAACAAGTTTCATGGGTTGTTGGAGGATTGGTTTTTACTGCAGGGCTTTTCTTTGTAAGGTCAGATTTTCAGCCTCTCTGCTATGCCTTTTCTTTTGATGTCGGCCCTGAGGCTATTTTCGTCATTTCTTCTCCCTAGTTTTATCTCCGTGACACGTTACAAATTAGGTTAATTTTGCTCTTGTTTTGCACAGAAGGGTACTTTCATCATTTCTTTTCTCTAGTCTAATCTCAATGACATGATAAATTAGGTAGATTAGGCTCTTGTTTTGCACACAAGTGTATTTTCGTTATTAGGTATTCTGCTCTCATTCTTTGCATGTTATCTTAATTTATATTTAAGTTTTGAACTTAGTGTAGTACTAGGATTCCTTACAAGTTGCTAAATTCTTTGTTAATTTTCAAGCTAGAAATCAGAATATTGGAGAGAAGCCACTTCTTTCTGTCTCCAGCTTTGTACACGTAAAGTTGCCACATTTTCCTTTTTGAGTCAACGTATTATGCAATGGTTAGGCTTCTTCCAACAATAAAGTACTCATTGTATTCTTAATGATTCCAAATTCTACTTTATGCTGGCTATAGAATGCTTAAAAGTTAAAAATTTATAATGTCTCTTATAACCAATAGAATAAGTTCAGTTTTTATAAAAGCAGCAACAAAGCTCATGCTTATGTCTTTATGTCTGCCATGGTTTTCTGCAGGTAGCTTGCAACAATGTGCTTGTTGTTCCAGCATTCCTTTATGCTATTAATTACCACCTAAAGTTCACTAACAACCTCCTTCCATGCCCTGCAGCCTCTCAAAGTTCTTACATTCAGGTTATTCTATTAGAAAGGAAATTATCAAAGGCGATTGTCAAAGGAGAATTTTGTCATGGGTTTCTTTTAATGTTGTACATGTTTTGTTTTCTATAATAAATATTATGCAATATTAGCAATGTGTTACATTTACTTACTAATGGAATGATTATTTGTATTTGACATATTAGTGCAATGAATTATCTTTATTGTTTATGGTATTTTATTTTGTATTATGAGACTTTTAATGTGTTATTTAATTTGAAAATTAGTAAATCTATCAAAAACATATAATTTTAAAAACATTTAAAATTATGACACGTAAAACTGCGTGTCGTATTCCTTTATGACAGGGGCTTCCTTGATATGCATTGTGTGTCGTAAACATGTGCGTCGTAAGGTTACGACACGCAAACACGTGTCATCTTCCTTTATGACAAGGCCTTCCTTGATACACATTACGTGTCATAACTGCACGTCGTAAAAGTGTGTCATAAATGAGCATCGTAAATGCGCGTCGTCTCTCGTTATGACAGGGCTTCCTTGACACGTATTTGCATGTCGTTTGAGCGTTTTACGACGCGCATTGCGTGTCGTAAAAGGCTGTTTTTCTAGTAGTGAATCTTCCATCAAAAAGTCATTTTTGACGTTCATTGTCTCTAAATTGACTAGCCCGAATCTACAGGCTTTACACCGAAAGAGTCAAAGTTCTATCCACCAAACTTAATTATACGAACCGTTTCCTTGATGATCTGGAAAATGAACGTACGATAGTAAAAAGCTGCAGTTCCGATGCCAATCAATTTCTACGAGATCTTGTTGACACTCGTGATTCTATCCTCACCGTTTTTGTTCGTCAGCACCTCACAGATAAACTTCAACAGATTTTTGTTGTTTTGAATCAAATTGCAAGTGTTTCATAGAGTACTGGTCAAATGAAACAAAGGGGAGACCAATATGATAAACACAACTCTCATCAAGAGGATCCTGCAAAGAAAACAACTGATGAACGTTTAGAAGAAACTCAGAAAGCTGACTAGAAGGATAATAAAGCTTATACGTCAAAGGGCAAAGAAAGGGTATTTAATGATGTTGATGATAAGGAAGAACACCTCTCTGAATGAAAAAAGCTAGTTAGAAAGAGAAGAGATAAACAGCTCGATGAAGTGTTGTGAGTTACGAGGGAGTTAGATGCAAAATAAACTACAGAGCGAGATGTGAAAGTTACTCTTGAATCTCAAAAGTTAATCTTTCCTCCTGGTTCACTTAAGCGACTTCATAAGGAAGCAATAAATGATCCAATTATGAGCTGGTTGGCACATATAGTCTCTTTTGATCTAGATAACACTGCCGATTCGCAATTAGATCTTCCTATCACTCAGAGAGCTTTCCTGTTTAGATGCTTTGAAAGTATTTAGAAGGTCCTCTCTCAGATTATGATGTCAATCACTCATTGTTCTTTTTTTACCTCAAATATCGTAAGCCTCAGTATCTGTCATGGATATTAAAGAAGATGGTCGTAGTGAAGGTATATGCACCAGTTCAGACACAAGATTTTTATAAACATTCGGTTTAATGGAGTTTGAGGAGCATCTCATTTCGAAGATAAATTCACCCTTGCAGATCTACCCTGCATGAATCCGAATGACTGAATATCATTGCTTATGATCCTAATGAAAAATGAACAGAATTTCGAACCTATTATTGCCCATCTGAAGAGAATGCTTGTGTGCTATATCTACGAAGTTTCTAAGTTGGATGTAGAAATTGCATCTGTTCTGAAGAAAAAACTCATTTAGGAGCTTCAGAATGAAAAGAAGGATTTGACCAAGCGGAAGATTGGTAAGATTCAGAAAGAAAACCGGAGCGTGGTATTCCAAAGAAGAGAAGGTCAAGAAACTGTGAAGAAGTTGTTTCGCTTGCCTGACAAACATCTATATTCGACTGGTACTCTTAATCATATTCTCGAATTGGTTGCAGCTTACAAAGGCAATTCTCCGAGTGATCTAAAATGTTTTATAGACATGATAAAATGGTATCTTCTTGTCCGAGGTGCGCTTTTGCAAAAACGTCAACAACAATGAAGAATCTTCCTTCCTTATTGACATAAAAAAAGAGATTGTTGGGGTGTTTAATGTGTTGTGTCAATATTGTTTTGTACTAGAATAGCCCATAATGTAACGGGTTGGGCTTGTCCACCTAAAATTTAAAGATATTAGGGTTATACTATTAATAGTTCATGCATGCAACGCTTTTAGGGTATTCGATTGTATCGCCCTACATCGCCATTACAAAGAAGTTCACACATAACTCTTCTAAGGCCTCGATAATATAATCATTCGGTGCCTTTAGATCAATTGTTCTTCTTGTTTTAATGCACTTTTCTATTAAAGGATCTTTCGATCTTAAGTTTATTGTTTCAAAAATTACTCGCATCATTGTCTAAGTACCAAGTATCGTTGTTGTTTTCTTTAATTTTGAATTTTCTTGGTATACACCTTATTCATTCAAGAAAATAGTCTCGTAGAGGGTTTGAGCCATAAAAAGATGTGTAACATGATCATCAACCTCGAATACATGAGTTTCTTCTTGTTTGGATTTTCATTCTGTACATTAGCAGAGTGACCAAACTTGTCTCACCTATAACATTGTATTTTAGAAATCATTGTTTTTCCCTTTAGGATTTTTAGAATTTCGATGTTTGTGGTTGTGGGTCAATTTTGTTGATGAGTATTGTTTCCATGACTAGGTCTACAACCATGAATTCCCTGATCACCATGACTCGATTCTCCACTTCGATTGGAAGACTCACTTTTATTGAAAAGGAGTTTGGTTTGTTCATTTGTTGACTCACTTTCTGGGATGTGTTCTTCGTAAGCTTTTAAATGCCACTCTACATCTTCAAATCCAACTGTCTTTAGGTCTTGGACTTGTTCGATTGAAGCAACAATATAGATAAATCTTCTTGGTAAACTTGTAAGAAATTTCTTAACAAGTTTAATTTCGGTTATTCGTTCGCCAAAAAAAGTAGATTTTGATGAGATACCTGGAAGCAAACTTGCAAACTCATCAATCGTACTTGATTTCTTCATCTTCAAGTTATAAAACTCATTTATTATGTTTTGTAAACGAGATTTCCTTACCCTGTCTGCTCCAAGGTGGTGAGTTTTGATGGCTTAGATTTCTTTTGATGTACTCATCGTGCCGACTTGCAGGATTTAATCTTCGGGGATTGCTTGGAATAACACAACTATCGCTACATTGTTTCTCTTGGCATCCGTCGTTCTTAGATCAACAACATCCCAAACTTGGTGAATATTGAAGATGACTTGCATATGAATTGTCTAGGCAGCGTAGTTTGGTGCGATGAACATCGGTACATGCAAGGAAAATGATGAGTTCTCCTCTATTTTAGACGAACTTGGGTCCGTCGGTCTTATCATGATCAGTGGTTGTCTCCTTTATCATCTGGGGCTTTGATACTAATTGGATGAATAATTTATAAATAGAAAAATAAAAACATGAGAATGAAAGGAATAATCTCCTACTATAATTTAGAAAATAAACGTACATTACAATCTCTCCTCTTTTTCTCTCTAATTTTTTAAACCTATATGTTTCGATATTATATATAGCCGAAATTAGCATCCTACTTTTTATCTAACTAGGAGACATTTTACCATATAAAAGACTTGCTTGTTTGGGATGAGCGTAGGCGGGTACCTGCCCTAATTGTCCAGAACGAGAACCGGAGCTTCCTCAAATGTTAGAACCAGAACCGGAACCAACGGCTAGCGGTTCCAATACCAGGTACCTTGTTCGTTAATTGTTTTAAATTTTTAAAACTTTCAAAACTATATTTACGATTTAGAATTCAAAGAATTAAAGTCCATAGTTGGTAACGACCCAATTTTTCACATAAATTTTTCATTTTCGAATCATCAAACATATTCCATACATTAAGAAATCCAGTTATAACTGCTTTCAAAACATGAGTCAAATATAATTGTTATTCCAACATCAGAGTGTCCCATGAAAATTCCTGAAAGAGAGAGCACGCCGCACCATCATGCCTCTCCCTTGCCCTTAAAACCTGAAGTACCTGAAACAAATTCACAACCTGTAAGTTAATACTTAGTGAGTTCCACAAAGCATACCCCACACAATCAACATATCATATTAGCTATAAAATCTACCTCTACCACATAACACATATCAATTAGCTATAAAATCAACCTCTACCACATATCACATATCTATTAGCTATAAAGTTATCTCTACCATTAGCTACAAAGGCTATCTCTACCCTTAGCCATAAAGGCTATCTCTACCATTAGCCATAAAGGCTATCTCTACCCTTAGCCATAAAGGCTATCTCTACCATTAGCCATAAGGCTATCTCTACCATTAGTCATAAGGCTATGTCTACCATTAGCTTAAAAGCTATCTCTACCACGTATCAATGCGTAAATATGTCACATGCCTCTACACAGCAAGTCTACCAACTATCACAAAATGGGCCAGACTTGGTGCCTTAGACCCATTGGTATGGTGAGAAAACTCACATCGAATGCAGATCTGCATCTTGAAAAAAATCCCTAGTTGCTGCCCTGTCCACTTCATGAACTATCAATACCGATCAATATACCCAATTAGCAAGTGGGCCCAATACCATAATCCTTAATCCATGCATGGGGGTAAAATGACCATTCTACCCCTGTTCTTGTTGGATAAGGTGTCTAAGTCCATAACTATTTCTGGCAAATACTTGACCCGACCCGGCATGGTCTATTTGGGTTGCATGGCACCATGCAATTGGATAAACTAAATGATAGAAATAACACATATGGTTTATTATTATATTATAAGTTCTAATATATTAATAATATTATTTAATTAGTTTGATCAAGAATTAATTTAGAATTAATTAAGTGATCAAAAGACAACTAATTAAATGTATGGATTAATTATCCATAACTTATATAGTGGGCTAAGAGGCTCCATGGATAATCAAGATGGGTTATACCCATCGGATGGTCCATGGAGGCTCCATGGGAGTTACAAACCCATGGGTCATAGAAATGAAGAGTCATGACACATTAGGATGTAACCCTAGATGTGTCAACACTATATAAAGCTCACGTGTTCTCCCCATAATCGGTTAGACAAGAAACAAGAGGGCTAGAACCGATTTTGAGTGTTATACAATCTCTCCAAGTTTACTCCATAGCATTTGGTGTTGTGTGAAGCATTTGAGGCATCACACATGGGGTGCTAGGCTCACAAGGTTTCAAGGAACACCTACAACAACAAGGTATGTAGCTCTATCTATTATTTAAGTTAAAGTTGTTCCCCATGTATGCTAGATAGGATCATAGCCTTGGAAATCAACTTTGCATGATAATTAGACAAACATAGATCCAAGGTTATTAGGGTTGCATGTACACTTAGGAAGTGTTAGAATGCTCAAAACCCATCAGTGGTATCAAAGCCTAGGCTTTCTTGTTTGATTTTTGTGCAAACTGCTTGAAAAAATCGAGTTTTCTGCTTTCTGCTCGTATGAAATCGCCGAGTCCATGACCAAATGCAAGCTACTCGCCGAGTCAGTTCATGCACTCGACGAGTAGAAGCTGCAGTTTCAGAATTTCGATTTTAGTTGTTGGAAATGGACTAGAAACATTACCCTAAATAATTTTGGTTTATGTAAACATGTTTTAGATGGTGTAATGTTTATGCTAATCCATTTACAACAACAAGTTATCAAAATTACAAGTTTTTAAGTGTAATTTTTGATTCATGAAAGTATTCATATTCATGTTCTTGATCTTATGATGTTTAGATGATCATAGGAATTATTTGTAACCTATGTGGTAGATTAATTCATGATCTTTATGTGTTTTAATGGAGTCCATAACTTGTCCTCAAGTTATGGAAAACCAAAAGTCACTTTGCTTTAAAACCATTAAAAGAACTCATGGGTTATAAAATGAAGAGTCATCATTTTTGAAATACCCTAATAAACTCATAAGTTACAAGAAATGAAAAGTTTTGAAAGTTTACAAAACTTGCCCTCAAGTTTTGGAACAAGTAAAGTCTTGATTAAAACTTTAGTTCCAACCCTTAGAATTTTAAAAAATTAAAATTCAACCCTTATACTTATAGTATTATGATTTAATATATATATATATATATATATATATATATATATATATATATATATATATATATAAGAACAAAGTCGTCTTACCGTTAGTACGCCTCATTCACGAAGTCGGTCTATAAGGTGGGTATAAGGTTGTTGCCTATAAAATGGCAACTTAATGGGTGTCTACTCTGACCCACCGCTTGCTTGACTGGTGGAGGGTCGTTATCCGAACGGGTAAGACAAGGACTTATAAATTATCATTAAAAGTATAATGATTATTATAAAGTAACTAAATGTTTTATAAATTCCCAATCTTAGTTACTTTAGGAAAAATATGAATAAGGTGCTAATCCATGAAATTACACTTTGCACCTTGTTTAAGTCGTTGGTGGAGCGTGTGTGGTTTACCGGCACACTAACTTGGACTTAACAAGGAAGGCAAAGGGTGACTTAAGGTTTTTCATGAGCTCGGAAGGAGCGCGTGTGGTTTACCGGCACAACGATTAAGTGAAAAACATTAAGGGTTGCAAGTAATTTGCATGGTTACTTCACACCTTGTTTTGTGATCCTCGGTATCCCAGTCACAAAACATGAAGGGAACACTCGAGATTGAAACATGCCATTGAAAAGTTCAATGAATCTCAAGGAATCTGGGAATTTCTAAAAGCCAAATAAAACCTAATAATTTATATTTCGTTTTCATGGTGGAAATTGGTGAATCGTCATTCACCTACCTTTCAAATATGTTATAACTTGGATTACGGCACCCCTCTTCTAGGTTATAATATATTGTGATTGGATCCTAGCCTTACTACTACATTTGGGTGTTTTATTAAGGACTATCCCTATATCTAAACTAAACTTACTTTCTTCCTTTCAGATGTCTTCCAACAATGTTACTCCTGGCTCAAACCCTACTGGCTCCTTCTTTCTCATGAA